TACTACAGATTTAATATAGAGATTGCATGCTTTTAACATAATTATTAACTAAATGTTATTAATTCTTCTCCCATTTTCGAAAATTCCAGAATTTATTCTAAATGTAATATCGCCGTCTTCCTCCGCGACCCTTTCACTTTTAAAAATCCGCATATAAAATAGTACGACATTTGATTGCTAATAACTCTGATTAACTCTTTTAGTGAATACTACAAATTTAATATAGAGTTTGTATACTTTTAACGTAACTATTAACTAAATTTTATTAAAATTTATTAGATGCCACTCCGACAGTTCCCTTGTCAGTATATTTATTAATTTATTAAAATTATTTTTACAGTTCTGAATAAAATTTACTAATTGAAATAATTAAACTTTTAATTAAAATAGATAAAAGAAAATTTACAATACATTAATAAGGTATTTACCTACTGTTTGTGCATATGTATCAGCAATCCAACTCATTTCTCTTTCTCCAGTACCCATATCTGGAGCAGGTACATCTAATCCAGGTCCTAAAATAATGAATATTAATTTATAATTCGATATAATTTTTATAGATACTTCTCAAGCAAATGCAAAATTTTATATGAAATTTATAAAGCTGCTTATATCCAAAAATTAAAATTTTCCTCAAAATAGTAAATTCTGGTATGCATTTCTAAGCTGCAAGCTATTCATTTCAAAATAATTTGATAGCTTTCATCAAATAACTAGATAAATTAGGCAACTAGCAATTTATAAACTGATCATGTTGAATTTCAATGATAATAGTTTGCTTGTTATTACAATTAGTTTATTTTTAAGTTCAAATTTTAAAACTTAAAACTAAATTATGAAAAATATAGCACTATGATCTGTAAATATGAGAAAAAGAAAATTGCTTTATGAACTAACAAAGGAATTTGAAAAGTTTTTGAAAAATATTTATTTTGATTTTACTTTTTAATTCTTTAATTTAATTTTATTAATTATTGTAAATAAGGCAAAAGAAATGGGTAAGTTCAATTACTATATAATGGAATCAATTCAAAGACAGAATAGGTGTCTTGCTGAATCTATGATTGGATTATGATGCTAATCTTAGTTATATTGTCTAGGTATTATTTCTACACAAAATAGATAAGAATCCAGCTTCTAATGATAGTTTCAGGAATCTAATGTATATTGAAATAAATCTAACAGAAAAACCTCTTACTTAAAAAATTCTGCAACGAGTTAAATAACTTTCCTGATGAAAAATATTTAAGTAACATTAAGACACATTAACACAAAGTTAAAACTGTGCATAGTGTCATTTGCACATTATCTAATATTTTATTATTCTCCTCCAAAGAAAACTGCTTCATTTTTTATTGTAAACTTAAAAAGAGAAAACTGTAGAGTAAAAATATCAAAACAAAACCGTAACTAAGGATTAAAATTAGTATTGCCAGTTGAACTAGACATTAAAATTAATGTTGCCAGACTATTTGGCAATATTAATCATTTACTAATAATAAATAATTTATTCATTTATAGATTTTGTTATAATGAAACTATTCTTTCATAATGGACAGAATTTTTATTACGTTAAACTGAAACTTTCAATATAATGGTATTCATTAAACTGAAACATTTTTCCATTGAGCTGAATAGGAAATTGGTGGGGGAGTCAAGATACATTCGTTATACTGAAAATTTTATTAAACTGGCATTCATTATACTGACATTTCATTGTACAGTAGAACCTTGCTTAATGAGCACCTTGCATAATGAGCGAAACAAATTGTAAAAAGATGACTCATTTAACAAGCAACGTTTTGCATAACGAGTGACAAGGAGAGGAGAAATCCTGGATTGTGGGCATGCTCCATCAGTCTGTGTTTAGCACTCGTTCTGCTAGCATCTTAGTGCTGCTTGTGATCACACATTTTTTCAAACTTGTGTTCAGACATATTATGTATAAACATCAACAACCATAGCCTGGTATATAATAAACATATCAAACAATGTGCCAAATTCTTGGGCTATGTAAAACCTATAATTTAATATTAGAAACTGATTAATTTGACTAGAAATAGGCAGTTATGCTGCCATCTTGTATTAAATTTAATGACCAATTACATAAATAAAATAAAAATCAACACCTTTAAACATCCAGCAAATCGTTTTTTAATATTTAAAAACGCTTTCGAACGCTTTAAGCGATAACTCTGGAGCTGGAACAAGAAAATGGAAGCATTGTTAATTTTTTAGATTTAACTATATCTTGCAAAGATGGTGAAATCGGAACAGATATATACCGGAAACCTACTTATCTTCCTATCGTCATTCCTAGGAACTCCGCAGACCCTGAGCATATAAAAATGGCCGTTTTTCGTTCGTGGATAAAGAGGGCATACACGCATTGCACCAGCGTCTGCGACACTTACAAAGAATTAGAGTATATAAAAAACATGGCGATGCAGCAAGGATACCGTAGAGAAAGAATAGATGCCCTCATCGCGAATTGTCGGAAGCGACTCCCCTCTCAGGGAGGGAATCAACGCAAAGAGAGAATCGTACTCAATTACATACCGTTCCTTAAAGGAATGGTTAAGAAAGTTACCAGGGATAAGGATGTACGGATAGTTTACAAACGTAATCCCACCGTATACAGGCTCTTAAGGAACGATAAAGGCAATTACGAACACAGCGCAATGGCAGGGGTGTACTCTATACCATTAAAAGACCGTAGATTTAACACCAATCTAGTGTACATAGGGGCAACCTTAAGAAACTTAAAGAAAAGGATTGCTGAACATAAGCAATCAGTCAATAAAAACATAGACTCTACGGTGCTTGCGGCCTTTGCCAAGCAGCAGAATATCGAAGTCTTTTGGGATCGGGCGTCGATCATTAAAGCCACAAAATCCAGGCAGGCTGTGAAACATCTGGAAAAACTAGAAATTCACAAGGCGCAAATGCACACAAGCTGTATTAATCATAGGGATGCTGACGGATTATCGTCGGCATGGAAATCCTTCTACGATGAGTGACGTAATGTAAGCGGGAAGATTATATAAGATAATTTTTATTGGATGCATATAATTTATTTTATTTCTTTTATAATTCTTAAGATTATTTAAACTTGGTAAATGTTAACGTATTTACATATATTTATGTAATCGCTTTTTGAATTTCGTTTTACGTAATTTTCGAATTTCTTCGTTCGATTCACAAATGTTAACTGATGATGATCGCTTAAAGCGTTCGAAAGCGTTTTTAAATATTAAAAAACGATTTGCTGGATGTTTAAAGGTGTTGATTTTTATTTATTGACCAATTACAAATTAAATTTTACAAATGTCTAAATTAAAAATTAATTATTTATAATTATTAAATTTAATATGAGATGGTAGAATAACTGCCTACCTCTAGTCAAATTATTAGGTAACCAAAAAGTTCTGTCGTTTTTTATGAAACTACAAAGTTTAAAAAATGTTAAACACAATACACAATAGATGGTACTAAAATTCCAGCAGTATGTTAATCAAGATTTAATGCTGACTCATCTTATATAAAGAGAAGCAGAAAGGTTATCTCTTAATATTATAAAAAATTGACCTGAAGATGAGTACTCCAAACTCTATAATTCATGCTTGTATATTGTACGAGTTTAAACTTGGAAAAAATGCTGTGCAAATGGCTCAAAAATATGCCAGGCTTTCAGACAAGGTTCTATCAGCACTCGCACCACCCAAAGGTGGTTTAGAAAATTTTCTTTTGGTGATGAGTCGCTTAAAGATGCGCCACAAGAAGGGCTGCCATATGTCATTAATAAGGATGAATTACAGGCTGCAATCGAAGAAGATTCCGCTAAAACTTGTCAGATATTAGCACAAAAGTTCTCCCTAAGTGATGAAACTGTCCATTTACATTTGCATAGTCTTGGGAAAGTTTACAAGCTCAGCAAATGGATGCCTCATCAATTGACACTTGCCAATATTGTGCGTATGGTGGATTGCAAATGGAATTGTTCACTATGAACTTATACCATCTGGCCAGACTATTACTGCTAATGTCTACAGTGACCAACTCCGTCCAGTTCACCAATCACTTTTGAAAAAACAGCCAGCTTTAGTAAACCGTAAAGGCATTCTTTTCCTACACGATAATGCTATAGACATCATGTTGCGTGTGTGACCTCTGACACAATTCAGACCCTTGGATGGGAACCTCTTTTGCACTCTCCTTATTTCCCTGACATTAGCCCTTCTGACTATCACCTATTTTTAAGCCTAGATAATCATCTGCAAAATTGATAGTTCAGAAATAGAGGTTATAGAAATGGAGTTAGGGAAGTTTTTCAACTCTAAAGATTGTGACTTTTATAAAAATTGAATTTATAAACTTGTTTCCCATTGGGAAAAGGTTATAAAATGTGAGGGTGGTTATTTTGATGTATAAATTGTGTTATTTCCTATACATTTTTATATTTGTTTTCTTTAGACAGAAAACGACAGAACTTTTTTGGTTACCTGATAATTAATTTCTAATATTTAATCATAGCATTTACATAGCCCAAGAATTTGGCATATTGTTTAATGTGTTTATCAGACATATTACTTTAATTTTTTTTCTTTTCTGCAAATCGAATTCGCATTCCAGATTGGTTCATTCAATGCTAGAAGAAAAGATGATGATGATTTACACTCCTTAACAATGTATATTGTATAATTTTCTTTGAATAAACATTATACATAAAATATTAGAGTATTTTTTTCAGCATGGAATGCATTTTCATATTTACATTAATTTATATGGGAAAAATTGTTTTGCTTAACAAGTGTGTTGCATTACGAGTAAGATTCTGGAACAAATTATGCTCGTTAAGCAAGGTTCTACTGTAAGTATAAAAATGACAAATATAAGTTATTTTTATCATAAATTATGTAATTTTAAGGAATCCTCTATATTTTAAATACTTTAAAGACTATTTATCAACAAATTTTTACAAATTTGAATTGTCCTTTGGGACATTTCTATTTATTTGTAAAAATAAATAAATAGTGTGTGTAACATGCATAAACATTTGTTAATTTCAAAATAGATGACTGGGCGATGGTCAACTGAGCAACAAAATAAAAGATCAATAATAAAAAAAATACAAATTTTTTTATTGTCTTTTTTTTATTAAAATCACTATTCTTTTTTATTGATCCAATACCCTGTAAATTTAATTAATAATTTTTAAGAAATGAATTAAACAAGTTAAAAGAACGATTTTATAATTAACAAATGTTTATGCATGTTTTTACAAATTAACTGTTAAAGAGTATAGATTAATATTAAAAAAAATTTTAATAAATCAATCCTCACCAAGAAATCCTTTTTTTGCAAGTTGTAATGCAAAATTTCGAGTCATTTTTTCTAACTCAAAATCACTAAATTCTTTAGGATTAATTTTTATTCCTGCTTTTGCACCACCAAATGGAACATCCACTACGGCACATTTAAAAGTCATTAATGCTGAAAGGGCTTTAACTTCATCCAAACTCACATCAGTACTGTAACGAATTCCTAGATAGAAAAATTTATTATTATAAAATAATAAATTTATAAATTTAAATATTCAATTAACATTAAGAATACTCAACTAAATTCATTTTAATACATAATTTGAAATATTTATACTTTAGACAATTTGGGCAAAAAGCCAAAAACTTAAAGTGACATTGTTTGTTTCACCTATTTTAATGTAGCTGTATTTCTTCTTACATGAACAAAGAATTATCCCTAATCATTTATTTGCTTCTACTTTTTAAGCTATTATAGAAAATATTGAAGAATAATACAAAATTACCTTTAATTATTACATAAAACAAATTTAAACTATTTCTTTTATTTGATACATAATTTTTCACTTTTAATTTTCATTGAGACAACTAATTTTCATGCAATCAAATTAAATTGCAAATAAATTCAAAAAATTTCATATAATTTTAAGAAATTCTCTATATTTGTAATATTTTAAAGACTAGCACAACAAATTTTTACAAATTAACTAATATTCTAAAATAATAATATTTTTATACAATTTCTCATATATATTTATACAATTTCTCAATGCAAATAGTTAAATTATTCCAATTTATATACAATTTATTTTGATAAAAAAAGTTCGATAAAAAAAATAAATAAAATAACTTATTTTGAAGATAAAAGTGTAAAAAAATATATATAAATTATTTTATTGTTTAGATTATAAATCACGCAGATGTCGTATCATACAGTTAAAAATATGCATGATCACACATTATAGTAATATACAATTATTTTATATAACAAATATATGACTGAAATCTTTTATGTAATTTTATGATTATTTTCTTGTCATGTAGATGAATCATTAATTATTTAATAATTATACTTACCTACATAAAATAAAAATACATAATCTTATGTCATAAATTTAAAATTTAAATAATTAAACATTATATTACTGTTATATTTGAGCAAACTTTAATCATTAAACATATATTGTCAAAATTTTTATCAAATTTCACAAATCTTAAGAACAGAATTAGTTAAAAAGAAAAAAATATATATATAAAACCTATAAATATTTAAAGAAAAAATAAATATATATATATTTTTCCCCTAACTCTTTAGATTAGCAGCGGTACAGAATTATTACAAAGATCAGTAGTTTTATCCTTAGAATTAGGCTAATATTGACTTTAGAAAAATTAACATTGATTAATAAAATATATATATACATAAATAAATAAATATATATGTATGCTTTTTTCTTTTATTACTGAATTTTATTTTAAGATGGTAATTTATGTACTCATAGTTTTGATATTAATGTAACCAGTGGTGATATTCAGCGGGTTCGCACAGGTTCGGCCGAACCCGTTGTTAACATTTTCAAAGTTTTCCGAACCCGTTGTTAAACACACGTAACATTTCTCAATGGTTTTGTTTCTTTTAAAAAATATATTAAAATATACGTATTATACTCTGTAACACTACTAAACTAGAGCTTTATACCCTGTTCGCCTTGGTGCAACCTCCATCGACCGTTTCAATCTCGACTGAAACCAGGTTTAGTCGCGATCGATTGAAGAGAGTTCTTGAAACTAGGTCCAATCATACGAGAGATCCCACGCGCGCGAGAAAATACAAGATGGCTGCGGAACACGTGTCGTGCTATCGACAGCGAAATAAAAAAAAATATTGTATTTCGAGAAATGATAACATCTGTCTATTATTATGATAATACCTAAGGATAAAATAAATGATTTAGAAAAGTTTTTTCTTGAGAAAAAGTCATAGGGAAAGCAGTTAAACCTGGGGCCATATTCTGGTCACTGTCTCTGGTCTCTCATCTCTCGCAAGCCGGTCGCTGATTGGCTAATTTAAATGATTAGCAGTCAGCGACCAGCTTGCGAGAGACGAGAGACCAGAGACAATGACCAGAATACGGCCCCTGCTTTCCCCATGACTTTTTCTGATTAAAAAAACGCCAATTTTTATGTTTATAAAATATTTTGAATGAAAAATATTAAAATATGTACAAAATAAACCATTTTGAACACTCTTTTTTATTATTTAT